CTGCAGCGACCGCCACCGAATTCGGATTTGCTCGCACCTTCTGCGGTCCCTCCTCCCTCACTTCTGTGCCGAGGACTGTGCCGCGGGATCCGGCAGCGCGATGTTTGGCCGCAGGAACATGGCTCGAACAAATGATTTTTGGGAGGGGGATGTGCACTGCGACGAGAAGGAAGAAAATGCTGCGAGACGACCACCACGACAAGGCCGGAGTGAAGTTTTGTTTTGTCCACTTGCGCGAGGGCGGCCTGCCACCTGGTCGGTTGGGAGGATTATTATTTTTGCGTCGTTGCGCTTACTTTTTATTCCGCTGCGTTTTCATGCGGACCTGCGAAGGGAGATTTGCAAGAAATTCCTGCGAGGCGTCCGTGCCGTCGTCGGAGAAGCGGAATCCCCCTTGAAAAACGCTACTTTATAAATTTGTTTTGGGCGGGGAGTTCCTGTCGATTCAACGCGACTTTGTTTTGCGGATTTGATGCGTGTGTTTCCGGGCGGTTCGGTCTGCGCCCCCGGCCCACTCGGATGCGGTGTGCGCGTCGACGTGAAGGTGCCTGCCAGCCGTTTTATTGCCTCCCCCGCTGTGGCTGCCGCCGCTGCCTTCCTCCCCTCCTGAGGTCCTGCGGCTTCTTGACAGGATGTTTTGGAGAAGGCGTTGCCGCTCTTATCGTCTATGGTATTTTGATTCTGGTGTCGCGGTCAGGTGACATTGAACGAGAGGGTTTGCTGCCCTCTTGTTTTATTTGTCCTCTCTGCCTGACGGCCAGTTCCACACAAGCGTGCTCCTCGGCACCTCAGTTGGTGCTGGCGGGTTGCTCACAGTTGTCACTGGCAATCGCATGCGCCAACTCTTCTCTGCTCCCTTTCAGTGTCGCATTTTTTTATTGATTGACGGACGCCATTCTGTCCGGCGTGCTACTTTGATTGGATTGTGTGGGACTGCTCGCCAACGCCATCGGAGAAAGCAGGCCGACTTTTTACGCATTTAATTCCATCTTGCGCGCAGGTATTTTTTTCACATGTTCTGTTGGACACTCAAACAGCGAGGAGTCCGGAACTATGCGTGCGTGGGATTCTTCCTGCCATGTGGACTGCGGGCAACACCGAGGGGCTGCCACCTTTACTCCGCAGAGTTGTTGTGTCTCTTTGCGGGGTTGGCAGGGAAATTCCATGCAGCCTGCTGCTGCTGGTGTGTCCCCAAATGTTGTCACTCCATGCGAATAATGTGCTTCAGCGAGTGAGGGGATGATTGGGTTTGTGTGCACTCTGATTGTGTTTGCTACTTTGTGCGGGCACGCAACACTTGAGTGGTGGGAAAATGGAGCGAGGCGATGCATGGCCGCGTCCCGCCCATTGTCCACTGCACGATGGTGTGGTGCACATTGTGGTGTTGACTCTGCGATGTGACTGCGGTCCCCTGTGCAGCAGTGGTGGTGTGTGGAGGAGAGTGTTGGCCCGCGGCGGAACGGTGAGATCGTGCCTCCTTTTCTCTTTGTTTCTTCCCTTTTGTGAATGTGTGCACTTATTTTTGGTGTCGGTGATGGGGCAAACAGACAGACAACGTGAATAAAACAAAATAAAAAAGGGCGGTAGTGTGGCGGTGTTGTGGTTGGTTGCACGCCTCGCGTTGCTGCGGGGGCGGTGGGCCTCGGCTGCTTCACCGACAGGCGTTGCAGTGCGGCTGCACCGACCACCGAGCCGTGCGAGTGCCACGCCCAACGCCATTGGGACTGCGGGAGGAAACAGCCGCGAGTGTCCTTTGGAGCCAGCGGCGCCTGCATGCCGCAGTTGGGCGGTGCGAGTGGGATGCTTCACCGCACGGGTGTTGTGATGGCGCCTTGCAGCGGCTCTTGTGATGGTTCCGACGCTGCAGCTCGACATGTGGTGGGGAGTAAAGTGTGGCCGCAGTGGACCATGAGCAGCACCAACATGAGGCTGAGTGGTTTCCTTTGGAATTATGTTGGCGGCAGGGCGGCCGTTGGTGAAAGACTACAATGTGACGATGGAGTTGTTTGTTCAGGAGCCGGATGATTACGTACAAGACCAGCGGCTTCTTGAAGAAATTCTTAACCTAACTGCGCACCAAGCGCTGGAGGCCATTACTAAGCCTCTTCACGAAGGTGTGCACTCTCTCGGGCAACGTAGGGACTATGAAAGAAAAGCATACGATCACTCCTCTTGCAAGGAGAACACCAAACGGGGTACTCACGCAGGTACTGACAGAAGCGAGGCGGGAGGCAGAGGAAAGGCTAAGACGAACGCAAGAAATGAAATTTACCATTTCCACTAATATCGAAGAGGTACTGTTTAAGGGAAGAGTTTGCGTCAACGAAATGAGGCTGAACGACTTTCTTACGAGGGAACTGGACGGCAGGGGCATTGTGGACACCAACCGGGATGCCATGCTGGAGGAGTTTTTCAGGGACCCCACGAGGTATATCCGTGATAAAGGAGCGTTGAACGAAATGCAGGCATCAGGTCGTTATTTGAGTATGAGGCGAGCTGTGAAGGGTGAAGTGATCTTCGACGAGGATACACGCAGGCTATGCGATAAGGGTGTCAACAATCCACCGGGGTGGTCATTGGCTGCTGCGGACGTAAAAGCAGCTGTTCATAACTCCACCAAACGTTTCTTGGATGCGGCTGCCGAGGAGGCGAGGAACCCAACGACGACGAGCGCACCGGAGAAACTGGAGGGAGTGTACGAGTCTGTGCACAATGCGAGGCGGAGCCATGCGGTGGAACTTCCGGACGGCGATGAGCGAAAGAAAACGGGGACGGGAATGGGGGTGCGTGAGGGGAGGCCAGAACAGTCATGGTCGTACAGGGAAGTTGGCAACACCCTCGAAAAGGATGACGCTGTGCAGCAATGTGGTTCAGCACCTCCCGTGTTGATGGTGCTCGCCTCGGAGAAGGGATGGCCGTACTCGTGGCATACGATACAGGATCTTCCTAAGGACGTTTTTGTAAACTGCGAGGTGGACCGAGTATGGCAGATCGTCAAGGGCGATGTAACCGCGTGGTCCAGCCCTCACGGTGGGACTGACTTTAAGCCAAAGCGGCGTGTGTTGATTGGGACGCCCGGGATCGGGAAGTCGATGGCTGCCGGCTCGTACCTCCTCTACCAGCTGCTGCACTGCGATGCCACGAAACTCCAAGTGGTAGTCCACTGTTTTGGAGAGGAGATGCGTACGTGTCTGACAAGACCAGCAGGACGGTGACAAGATGCGGCGATGAGGACATGTGCATCTCGGAGTTGAGAAGTTTGAGGGGGCATGGGAGGAATGTGTATATTATCTACGATGTGGCAAAGGAGGGAACGCCGCCACCGAGACATTTTGCGCCTTATGATAGATGGGGCATGATTGTGGTGCCTTCCCCAAACGTAGCCAACTATGATGAGTGGGCGAAGCAACTGCAAGCCGCGCGAATCATCGTGAATTGCCCCGACGAGGTGGATGTGAAGGCGGTGTGCGCCTGGATGACGCGTGATGAGACCAAAGAGAAACAAGCGTAATACTGGAAAGAGGCCAAAAAACACATGTATCTTTTGGGACCGATTCCACGTCACGTCTTTGATGAGGAGGCGTTTAATGGACGCTGTGGAGCGGTGAAGTTTGCATTGCAATCGATCAACGAGGTAACTGTGAAAGAGTGCTTTTCACGGGGAGGTGAGTCGCCACGGTATTCTGAGGATCCGTCCCACAGGCTTGTGAAAGTTGTTCGGGAAATATACGCAGGCGGTGTGACCCTTTTCAATGCACTGCTGTCTGCTTGCCTCGAGGAACGGACATTGGAACGGTTCCCAAGTGTAGCAGAATAAAATGGCTTTTTGAGGCTGATGTTGGCGTCGAAGGACAATATTTTGCCCATATTTTTTGGATGGTTTGCTTTGAAATCGTTCACGGAGAGTGCCTTTGTCAAGGCAATGGCGACGAAGCTCACGGAGTTTGAGCCGCCAACAGGACGTCAAGCAACGCCCTGCGTTTTGTAGTTGGCCCTGAATTGCATCCCAAGGGAGATGAGGGTTTGCTGCCGAGTGAATATGAAAACCGATCCGTAAAATAAAGTACGGGGTGCTGCACAAACCGTGGGCCACAAACCTTCCGCTGGTGGACGGCTTTTTCTTTGTGGAGTCAAATCCAATGACGCTGGTTGGGCTGCGGATGATTCCGGCGGGTGGGCACCACACCACCGCCAGCACTGTGCGGCAGTTCACTGAGTGCCTGGCGGCATATTGTAACGGTTGGGGGAATTGTCCCGGGACATGTCGTGGGATATTATGTATACAACACTTAGGCAGCACGCCGATGGATGACTGGCGGAGATGTCATGTCGATAATTCCAATAGTGTGTGCGACGATGAAAGCCGTGAAATAGCGGTGTTTTGGAACGGAAAAGGTGCGCCAGTAACAAGTGTCAGTGTCATTGGAAAGCTCCAGAAGGAGCGAGGCTCTCTGAGGTGGGGAATAACCACAGAAATGGGAAAATAAATTAGGGAGGGAAATAGTTTTTGTTTTTAGTGAAAAGCATTTGGTATTTTCATACACCACGTTAATTGTGTGTTCATACGAGGCATAATTGGAGAATTGCCCCGGTATGAGGGAATCATTGTGGCTGGCGGCATTGCGGTATCACTGCATTTTTCATTTTATTCTGTTGTTTTCCAAGGTCCATCACGAACAGAAGCATCTCTAAGGGATGGACGACGAATAAGTTCTATTGAGGAAATGGCGAACTCCGTGTGACCGCATGTAATGAGACGCCGCGTCATGGATGGATGAGGAATCGCTTCTGCGTGTGGCTCTTTGGGTGACTGCTTGCTCCGCGTGCGCTGTGTTTGTTGGCAGCGGGCTGTGGCCGTATCCCGTTGTCCGTGGGACTGAACTGGAGGCGATGATGGCGG